GGTACTTCTGGCCTAACATGTTTAAGGAGTGTGTTGACTATACTAGGAGCTGCAAGACATGCCAACAATTTCAAATCACCCCGAGTCAGCCCGCGACGAATTACACCCCTATTAGCTCGGTGATCTCATTCTCAAGGTTGGGGGGGTGGACATAGTGAGATCCCTACAAGTATAGAACGCCAACACACCATTGTGGACGGCCTCAAGAAGAAGCTTGAGTGAGCAGGAGGGGCATGGGTGGAGGAGGTAGACGCCACCCTTTGAGCCTATCGCACCACCCCTAGGAACGCTATGGGTAAGACACCCTTCTCATTGGCCTATGATTTCGAAGCCTGAGCCCCCGCGGAGGTTGTCATACCCTCCCGCCAAGCAGAAGAGTACGACACCGACACCAACGAGCGGACCTCCACCTAGTAGATAAAAGAGGGAAGCCACCATGATCCGAGCCGAGAACTACCAGCGACAATCTAAAGCCTACCACGATAAACGGGTCCGACCCTGTTATTTTCAGACGGGTGACTACATACTTAGGAGGAGGGAGGCAAGCCAACCCTAGGCTGGAGGTAAATTCACCACAAATTGGGATGACCCGTACACCGTAGCAGTCGTGGTCCGCCCAGGTAACCTCAAACTCAAGACCCCCAAGGAGAAGATGGTAGCTAGAGTCTGGAATTATGAGCACCTATCGAAGTATTATCAGTGATTTGTTTATTGGATGGTGGACCATCCCCTCCGTTTCAATAAACTTAGTAAAAATTCCGCTGTGGACTCATTTTCACTTATTTTTAGGGGAGGAGGGGGTACTTACCCGACCCTTCCAATCGTACCCTAAGGGGGCACGATGCCCGACCTCGCGTACCAACCCTGACGGAAGAGCCTAGCGACCGGGTGGCAAAGGACTTGGGTCGAACGGCTACCATAAGGGGGCAAGAGGTTCGACCTCATTCGCCACCTGACGGAAGAGTTTTTTAGACCAAGAGTACCTTTCGCCAAATAACTACATACAACGTAAAGGAAAAAAAAAATCCAACCACAAACTAGTCCATGACACGAGGTCCGACCTCCACGTAAAGCCCAAACTCCGATCTTGGACCAAGAAGCAAAGCGTGCACGAGCATAGCCGAGCAGGAACTCGACCGAAACCTTTGCTGAGTGCCCGACCGAAACCTTGGCCGAGACTCGGGTTAATTAAATCCATTAGGCGCTTAGTAATTTTTTCAACCTTGCTTGTACGTATTTGGGATATCGCTTTGTATTTAAGCTTTGAAGGGATGGTAAGTTTTTAAAGTATTTATGATGTTAAGATCTTTGGATTGGATTGGATTCAATCCATAAAACCAAAGCTAGATACTAAGGCTCTATTTGGCAGAACTTATTTAGGAGCTTATAATTTATTTTAAATTACTAATAAGTTATAAGTTCTGTTTGGTAATGTTCCCAAAATAAGCTCCTAGCTTAAAATAAGAACGTATTTTGGAACGCTAGGCTATGTTTGGCAAACCTAGCTGAAAAGCTATAAGCTAGGAGCTGAAAGCTTAAAAGGAGCTGAAAGCTGAAAAGCTAAGTTTGAAGCTGAAAACTGAAGAGCTGTTAAGCTAGCTGTTATGATTGGAAGTGTTTGGTAAAATTAACTTTTTGATAAGCTGATAAATGTAAAAAGACTAAAAAAGGCATCTTCATAAAATTCAAATTAGTTTGTTTACATATTAAAATTTAACATTTTGTCTTTAAAAAAATTAACATTTTGAAATAAAACTATAAGCATAATCATGATCTAGCATCTCATAATGAAGTAACAATGTTGTTGTAAATCTAATAATAATAATAATAATAATAATAATAATAATAATAATAATAATAATAATAATAATAATAATAATAATAATAATAATAATAATAATAATAATAATAATAATAATAATAATAATAATAATAATAATAATAATAATAATAATAATAATAATAATAATAATAATAATTGCGGTGAAAGTTGCGGACAAAGAGAAGAGAAAAATGTTTTAATTGGGAAGGGTAAATTATGTTACTTCTTTAAAATAATAAGGATAAAGATGGAAAAAATGTTAGGAAGCTAAGAGCTTATTTTGAAATGCTACCTAAGGTAGCGTTCCAAAATAAGCTCTTATTTTAAGCTAGGAGCTTATTTTGGAAACATTACCAAACAGAGCTTATAACTTATTAGTAGCTTAAAATAAACTATAAGCTCCTAAATAAGCTCGGTCAAACAGAGCTTAGCGTTCCAAAATAAGCTCTTAGCTTTTTATCTTTTTTCCCATCTTTATCCTTATTATTGTAAAGAAATGACATAATTTACTCTTCCCAATTAAAACCTTTTTCTCTTCTCATTTATCCGCCACTTTTACCGCAATTATTATTATTATTATTATTATTATTATTATTATTATTATTATTATTATTATTATTATTAAATTTGCAACAATATTATTACTACTTCATTATGATATGCTAGATAATGATTATGCTAATAGTTTTATTTCAAAATGTTAATTTTTTTTAAAGATAAAATGTTAAATTTTAATATGTAAACAAACTAATTTAAATTTTATGAAGATGTCATTTTTAGTCTTTTTACATTTATCAGCTTATAAACAAACAAATTTTACCAAACACTTTCAATCATAACAGCTAGCTTAACAATTCTTCAGTTTTCAACTCCTAGCTTATAGCTTTCAGCTCCTTTTCAGTTTTCAGCTCCTAGCTTATAACTTTTCAGCTAGGTTTACAGAGCTTTAGAAGAAGATTTGTGAAAGTAAAAGTTAATGAATGAAACACATTATTAGAGAACACTATAAAACCATATGTTTTACATAAAAGAAAAGCATGTTATTACATATAAGATAAGAAATTTAAAACGTAGCACATATGATCTAATAGTGTTATTATTTCTTCGAGGGAGGGGAGGCCAGGGGATTACGGTAGCGTTGGCTCTCCGAAGTTTGGTTCCGACGGAGCAGATATGAACGGCAGAGGATCAACTGGATTCTGTGGAATATCGGTAACCAACGGAGGTGGCAGAGTAATTTCCGGCGGCTGTTCTGGATTCTGGGGGTTTGAAACTACCGGCGGGTCTGAAATGATCGGCGGAGTAAATGTGAACGGCAGTTCTGGATTCGGGGGGTTCGAAATTATGGGCGGAGTGAATGTAAATGGCAGTTGAGTTTCCGGTGGGTTCGAAATTATGGGCGGAGGAAATGTGAACGGCAGTTGAGTTTCCGGGGGATTTGAAATTACGGGCGGAGGAAATGTGAAGGGCAGTTCGGGAGGATTTGAAATTACGGGCGGAGCAAATGTGAAGGGCAGTTGAGGTGGGAAATTTGGAAGTGGCTGTGGCTCCTGTAGCGGTGGCGATATTGGGACGAGTGGCGGTAAGTTTAGTAGTGGCGGTGGGAAAGAGAGCAATGGCGGTGGAGATGAGAATATCGGGATCATTGGTGGTGTTAGCCATGGGAATGTTGGTTGCGGTGGCGGAGAGAGGTCTAAGGGCGGCGGAAAGATTACCAGAGGGGGAGAATCAGGCGGAGGAGCGGACGGGACTGGAGGTGGGGGAGATGGAACTAGAGGAGGTGGCGGAGGCGGAGATGGGGGAGGTGGCGATGGCGGAGGCGGTGATGGTGGAGGCGGAGATGGTGTGCAGACAGGTGGTGGTGGTGGAGGAGAAGGTGGGCAAACAGGTGGTGGTGGAGGAGATGGTGGGCAAACAGGTGGTGGTGGAAGAGATGGTGGGCAGGCAGGCGGAGGCGATGGCGGCGGTGCAGGTGGTAGACAGGGACACGAGACAACTGGTGGCGGTGGTGATGGTGGGGGAAGTGGCGGAGGCCGGCGGCGAGGAGGTGTAGACGGTAGCGGACATATAAAAGGATTGTGAGGAGAATTAGGAGGAAAAGGCCATTGCCCACACCTCCCAAAAAGGTACAAATACAAAGGATCACAAGAAGAACGCCCACCTCGACCACCACTCTTCCTCCGGAGCCTTCTCTTCTCTTCTCCCTCAACTAATAATACACAACTCATCAACAACACTGCTATAAAACAAACTCCAACAACATTATTCCTCATCTCTCTTCTTCCACTCATTTTCTCTTCATCTTCATCTTCATCATATTGAGTATAACATAAGCATAAATTCTATATATGCTGCAGTAATGGCGTCGCCAATATCGAGATCCATGCGTGTCTGATTTTGAGGAGATGATGAACACACAAAAAACAGTTCGCAGTTGAAGAACACCTGTCCAGAATTCAATTCAATGTAAGACGATAGAGTTAATTTCCATATTTAATCCTCTCATTATCACTCATTTTTTTTTTATTCTTTTGTGAATCATTAACATTTAGAAAGTTTCTCACAAGGGAAACAAACCCTAATTTTCTTATTTTAACAATCTTAATCCTAATTTGAGTAATTTCACACATTTTAGAAAAATTTACAGTAAATTAAAATTGGAAATAATTCAATACTCTTAAGATTAAATTTGATAGTTAATTAAAATTAGAAATAAATATGGTTGGTAGATAGATATATCCATTATATTCTTCCTTGTTGTATGTGCCGCCATCAATGCCATGCAAGAATGCAATAAAAGAAAAAATTAATTAAGAAGAGAGGAGATAAAACTGCAAAGACTCATATCATCATCATCTTGCATACTGCAAATGTTGCAGGGACCAAGAATTACATGTAGAGCTCATGAGATAGAAACAAGAATGCATATCCAGCAACATATATGCTGTAAAGCAGAACCATCTACAACACTAAAATGGGAATGGGGGGAGAAGCTTCTTCTTCTTCTTCCTTCCCCTTTCTTATTCTTCTCTTCTCTAAACTCATCTTTTTCTACTAACTTGCTAATTCGCAGCCTGACTCACACTTTCATCATCCACAATTCCTCCCTCAGACCGTGTAGTGTTGCTGAATCGTGCCAATGTCCAGCCCCTTCAGCTTCACCACCGATTCCACGTGCTGCAATTTGTTGTCACTGGTTTTGTTTTTTAGAGCTGACATGTACTAACAGATCAACTGTGCCAACTAACATCAGTGTTCCTTCATTGTCTCACATTAAATTGCCCAATCTGAGAATTTTGTTATTGATAATCAAGAGAATTGCTTAGGCAATAGGGTATAAGAAAATTTGAAAACTTGAGTCCACATGAATAATATGTTTTGTGCTTGTAAAAGAGAGTTTGTGAGCCCTTGTGTTTTTTTTGTCTAGTTAAGAATCCTTATTGCACCTGCAAAACAAACAGAGTATTTTAAGTTCGAGGGATTCGTCTCGTCTCTTATACATTTGTTGGGCTAGGGCGTAGTGACAATGTTGTGTTTGGCTTTTTGGACATCCCTAAAGAAGCAATTTAAATTGGAATCTTTTCACTTGAATGCTTAGCTTGAAGTTATTTCTGCTATTTCAATGTGAAACTTTTCAGAGAATGGCTTCATTCCCACAGTTTGCATTGACTTTTGACTTTGATTACATACAGCTTTGTCCTATTCTCTTGTCTTAAATTCAAAATATGGTCTTGTATGTGATGCAATATTCACTTTCCTTTCTAAACAGGCAAACATACATGCTTCTTTTTGGCTTACTTGTATACACTCTCTATGCAAATATGTTGTAATCTTATAACTGCTACTATGAAATCTAATAATCCTTCTGTTATTTTATTTACTTTCTTGTGCTATATATTTGTCACCCGATTTCTGCAATTCACATGAAGTGTTTTGACAAATCATCATCTCTCTTTTGGACTTTTCCTACCCTAAAAGACACGCTCGATTGCTCATTGCTAATGCATGTTTAGTCATACCTCTGAGAAGTGGGAACAATTATAATTACAATTTGGATACTGCTATTCTCTGCATCTTTAGGCTCTATGGTAATATCCCTTCTGTTTGTCTTTCAGGTTAATGAGACAAATGAAAAAACTACAACCAAAAAGTCAAGAAAGAAAAAGGTGAACCCTTTTTTAAAAATTTCTTTTAATAGACTTGTTCTAGACAAGAGCTTTCAAAGCTGTGGGCTCTATTTCTCTTATGGGAAATCATCTATTTCAGATTTTGTTTTCTTAAATTATTTATATTACTTAAACTGACATTTTCTCCAATCTAGTATCTACTTTACTTGATGCCTGATTTCATCTTGAAGCTCTTATTTCACTATCATAATATCATTTATTCTAATGTTCTCTTATCTTTTTCCTAATTATTAGACATTGGCCGAGCTCAAACAGGAGGAGGTCATGCTACTAAAGGAAAGAAGAAAATTGAAGAAGGTACTCTTAAGTTTCTATTTAATGCTCTTATTATAACAAGCGATGCAAAATTATGAAGTCTCAGTTCACCATGCACTTCATCTTCTTTGCAGGAATTAGCAAAGATACGTGTGAATTTGGAGACACAGAAGGCTACAAATGAAAATCTGAAGAGAGTGAAGGTATATATAAGAAGTTGTAGTCCTCCCCTCCTCATGGTGTTAACACCGTACCACTGGTCGTGCATAAGTTACAGCCTATATTTATTTGGTTGTAATTCTGCAATTACTGAATCTCATGATTCAGCTTCATATCGCAATCAATCATTTAAGCAGAAGATGCTTTGGTTGTCATACTTGGTCTTAATTCTATGATGATGCTCATCTTTTCAGGTTGATTTGGTACCTGAACAACAACCACAAAGTGGGGAAAGTATTGTGACAGCTGCTTCCAATGAGGTCCAGGAGACAGGCGAGGGCGGGGAGGATAGAGTCGAGCTTCCAGATCTAAATCTTCCCTTGGAGGACGATGATGAGATGCTACTGAGCTAGCTAGGATTAGATTCGCGAATGAAGCAGCAGGATGGATAATATATAAAGCAGTAGCAGCAGGAGCACCAGCACCATTCAATAGTCAGTCATAATAGGCTAATAAGCAAGCTCTAACCAACCATGTTGTAGGACCCGGACAGATGGATTATTGTAAGAGTTGTAATTGTAATTAAATACCTGCCTTCAGTTTCCATAGAGAGAGAACATGGAATTGGGGTTTTTCTAGTCATGAAGAAGGTGACAAGGGTATTTAGGTTCTTCTTTCATTTTTACTCATCAAATTTGCGGATCTATCATAGCATAGCTTAGAACAGATCCTAACTGTACTGATTAGATGCAGCAGCAGGGGAGGAGGGGAGGTGCTAACATTCTTTTTTCAAATTCTTTGGGGGAAAGAACTACTGCCCTTGTTCCTAAACTTAGCTTTTTTTTTTTTTTTTTTTTTCTGGAATTTTTCATACATATATTGTAAGTATTTTAATCTGCAGATTGGTGCTTCAAGCTTTAAATTAATCTTTCATTTCTCCTTTAACTATCAAAACAAAACAATACAATTTCAATTTGATTCGCCAATCAATTATCTTCCATAGATATTGACTATCCTCGTACACAACTTTGGACCTTGGGAGGGCAATTGTTATACAATGCACCATGGTCCACACAGCGCTATGTGGACCATGATACAATACAATTTATTTATACTATTAATAAAAACAAAATTTTTCTTTGTGAAATTTCCATCCAAACGATGAGAACTGAATGAATTGTATTACATAATATCATTACAAATGTACAGATTACATGTATATATAAAGAGAGAGACTCGGGGAGACTGGATAAGGAATTAGAATTTAACTTTTTTTTTTTGAAAGGAATTATAATCTAACTTAAATACATAGAATCCTAATACTTCCCCTCAAGCAAAAGGTACAATAGTAACTTGTAGCTTGTCTCTAGGAAAAGAAAATCTAGGGCCAGATAGAACTTTAGTAAAGATATCTGTCAGTTGATCCTTAGTCGAAATAAAATTAACTTGTATAACTCCATTTGCAACACTGTCTCTAACAAAGTGATTATCAATTTCTACATGCTTAGTCCGAGCATGAAAAATAGAATTTGCACACATGTATGTAGCACCAAGATTATCACACCACAGCTTGAGAGTAGACACACCAGTCACGCTAATTTCACGCAGCAGAGAGAGTGTAACACCCCCCCCCCCCCCCCCCCCAAACATGCTATACAAAAAGCCTTAACACATGCAGATATCACAACAAACACTAGCACAGTGGAAGATGAAAAGGTAACTGATTAGACATAAATCCAAAACATAGGATGCTATGCCACGTTTACCAACAATGATAAACGCTACGGTCAAATCTGCATGGTATACAACTATTCCAAAACTCGCAAGTCTAAAACTAAACCATATCACAGGCCGTAAGACAAACGAAAGGAGCTACACTATCGGGCACTAGACATCGCGCTCGTCTAGACATCACCTGAAAGAACACAAATAAACATGGGACGACGCCCGGTCAGCGAATAATGCTGGTAACCCACCAATACATGTGAAATAACATACATAGGTAAAGTATAAATTGTAAAACCATTTTCGAAACGGAATACATATATATAAGTGTAAAACCAAGAGTCAAAACCAACATAAGACTCAACACTCTCAACAAACAACAAAGGAACACATCCCAAGATCACAAGAACAACACGACTCACAAAAGAGTCAAGGCATGATCTATCATCACTCAATAGATCAAAACCCGACAAGTACAACGCAAAAGAATAAGACTCACACAACCGGCAACACATACCAAGGCAACCCATGCCTTTGTGACTACACACGTCACAAGAGAAGAACTCACCACAGTGGCTACAATAGCCCTCGTGACATCACCCATCACGAGTTGATATGCCTGCCTTATGCCCGGTTCCAACCTTATGGCTACCCCCAACATTGTTTCTTCTTTCCAACCATTACCTCCAGGACCCCTGTACTTCTTAGTCCAACCTTTTCCCTCCGGGACCGTCGTCCCCCACCAACGATCACCAACGAGACCACCAATTTCATAGTACACAAGGTACCGTACACACACACGGCGACACACGCCTTCCCAAGAAAATACGTGAACCTGACACACAGGTCACAACTCCATAATCACGTCACGGCCACCACGAGGACCGCTGCAATACCTTGGTGACTAGTGTCCCATACCACTAATCGTGCAATCCAGGTAAAGCCACACACGCATCACACTTCAACAGGAATCAATCAACGGATCACAACGAAGATATGAAACATACTCAATCAAGGAGTTGGTCACAGCCCGACACAACCAACGATGCATAACACTAGTTATCATCAACCAATCGGAAGGTACAAACAACACACACGCTAGCATTTAGACACCGAACTAGCATGCTCATCAAACGGATAAACCAAAGGTAGTTCCGAGGAACACTCAAGACACATCACGGTTCAACGAAACACAATGTTGAACACTTAGCACGATTTAAAACACCAAAGTCCTACATGGATACCTACCATATAGTTCTAGACATACGAAACATCAAGAAGACACTCAAATAGTTCCACAAAAGAACATCGGGAAGTCAAAAGACCAAATACCGAGTCAAAAGAATCACGGGGAACAAATCCCATCACAACACCGAAGTGTTCCCCGCGGGTGGACCCACGGGTAGGCCCCTACCTGTGGTTCCGCTCGCGGGTACACTACCCACGAGGCCAATGTACCTGCGGGTGGGCAGCGGGTAGGGCTCTGCCCGTCGTTCCGCCCGCGGGTACATCCCTGTGTCCAAAATAATCCCTTCGGGGATTTTCAACTCCAAGCTCAAATTCAAGTCCAAAACATGCCAAATCTCACCAAATACAACAAAATCACTTGAATCATAGGAAATGCCAAGCAATGGCACACAAGAACCCTAAACACAAGCTCTAGATATGCATTTTCACAAGACAAATGCATAAACACTCACATTTCATAGCAAAATCACATGTAGAATCAAAGAAATCACATATAGGTAAGTAAAATAGGTTTTGTAGAGCATGAGTTACCTCTTGTAGACTAAAAGACTTCACTTTACACCTCAACAAGCTCCACACAAGGCTCACTTTCCAAACCCACTTCAAGAACAAACCAAAAAGGTCATAAAGATCCTACCTTTAAGAAAAGACATCTAAGATGGAACCAAAAACACAAGATAGACTTAGATCTTACCCTCCTAGATGCCCAAATAGGTGAAAGGTTGAATCTTGGAAGCAACTCTTGAAGTCTTGGCAAGGTCTCAACTTAGCTTGGAGGAAAAGCTACTCACCTTTCTAGAGAGAAGGTAGAGCTAAATTTTAGAAGGTGTAAGGGGTAGAATGAAGATGTCTACTAGGTTAGGTTACAATACTAACACTAGGTGAAAGGTCAAGAATGCCCTTACTAACATTAGAAAGTGTAAGGAACAAGGGAACTCTCTTCAAAGCTCAAGGTACAACTTGACTTTAGAGTTGACTAGTCAAATACTAGTCCTCAAGTATTAAATTTCTGGATTTTAGGAAATAATTCCTCAATTGAAATAGGATTAATTACTCAATTAATACATGAATTAAATTTGGATTTTTGGGGTGTCACAGAGAGAATCCAAATTATATTACCTCAGCACAGACATCTGCTAGAGCTTTATATTCAGCCTTAGTAGATAATCTAGCAACAAGTTCTTTGTTTCTTACATACCCATGATATAAGATTGGAACCAAGAAAAGCAAAATAACCACTAGTTGACTTACGATCCTCAAGACAACCAGTCCAATCAAAATTAGAAAAAAGCATGTAAATCTATAGACATTGACTTCCTTATTCGCAGACCATAAGTAACAATTCCCTTTACATACCTCAATACACGTTTCAATTGCTCCCAATGAGAGACTGTAGGAGCATGCATATGTTGACAAAGTTGGTTGACCGCAAAGGACAAATCTGGAGGAGTAACCGTAAGATACTGTAAAGCTCCAGCCAAACTCCTATACCGTGTAGCATCATCATATAAGTTTGCATTAAAGACAGTGGATTTCAAAACAGATATAGGAGTGGCTAAAGATTTATAGTCTGTCATGCCAGCACGTTTTAAAATATCTATCATGTATCTTTGTTGAGAAAACAAAATTCCATCATCACACTTAACAATTTCAATCCCAAGAAAGAAATCAGGTTCGCCAAGATCCCTAATCTTGAATTCATATGACAATTCTACAAGTAAAGTACTAACAAGATTTTGATCATTGCCCATTACAAGAATATCATCAACATATACTAGAACATAAATGAAGCTTGAATCTCGTGAGTAGTAAAATAAAGATCAGGGCCGTTTCAATAAAAATTGGGGTCCTGTGCAATATTTTAAATTGCGCCCTTTCTTAAGTAATTTGTATATAAAAATAATAGTTGTTCAAAAAGTTGTGTCAAAAATTCAAATATAAATATTGTATAAAAAATACATCTAAAATTTTATTTAAAAAGTGACATGCGCGTGCACATTTAGTCATATGATATACACTCGGTTTCATGCTCTTTAAGTCTAACACCCAGATGTGTCTAGTCCCTAAGACCTTCATTGACCAAAACACATTTTCATATACCTTTTATAAAAATCTTGCAACAAAAACAAAACACCTTGTCAAGTTCTTTTGAATAATGAGTATACAAGCCAATCTCGATCACACTTCTCTCCATTTGGCAAATATCTTGTGTAAAACGCTGACGAAAATCTTCTTGAGAATTTATCTTTAGGACCTTTATTTATTGATAAATCTATTTCAGGACCATCTTTCACACAAATATCTATTAATTTAGAATCAAGAGCATCCCAATTTCTTGGATCATATATGTTAAATAAAAGCGAATCATTTGGTTTATCATTATGACCAACATCATCTAAACAACTATCAACATTCTTGCATATAATTTTCATTGTCACAGTGATATCTATCATCGTTGTGCACAAAATCATTTAAAATTTTTCCAACCTCACCATCATCTTGATCTTTTATATGAAAATTAGCATTTAACAATTTTCCCTTGGCATAATTTTTTTCACATCTATTTGAGTTTCTTTTATAATGAATTTTTCAAGAGCTCCTTTTTAAGATTAAGGCCCTGTTTGGTAAAATGGCTGTTAGCTGATAGCTGATTGTGTTAATTAGAGGGTATAAATAATTGATAACATTAGTTGATTGTAAAAAAGTGTTTGGTAAATTAGCTGTTAGGTGATAGCTGTTTGGTATAATTTCTTTTCTCAAAAAGCTAATTGAAAAAGTTGTTTGGAGTAGCTTTTTGAATTTTAGCTTTTTAGAGTTGCAAAAAGCTAATTAGCCAAACATTTATATTGATATTTTAACTAAATCAAACAATTAATAGTGGCCAAATAAGCCAAAATTGGCCTATAGGCCAATTTTTTACCAAACAG